AATGTGTATCTTAATACTGTAATGCTTTCATGACACTTATATTGCCTTAGCTATTTCCTATACCAATATTGGATGAGATGTGTACTTGTATAAAGATCTGTTTTATGTTTGTAGTGTCACAAATAATTTTTAGAATATATTCTAGAATAGTCTGTGATGGAACAATGACCAATATTTTTGCAGTAAATTCCTTACCTTTATATATAGGTTATATGTATTTCTACTTGTTTTAAAATATTCAGTAGCTGCTTCTATATTTATCTGTGAACTTACATGAATTCTTAATTTTTCATTATGCTTTACTCTCCCACTTTGAGGAAAACAATTTGTTTTATTTCAACTTGAGCATCACTGTCAGTATAATGACTGGAATTCTTAGTGGACCGTAATTAGAGTAACAGTGCCTAAAAAAGCAGGGAGAAAAATATTGGCGGGTTAATTACATTACTTAAATTTAAACCTGAGCTAAGCTGTAGTAGCTTTAGAAGCTGATGTATTTGGATGTGAAATACTACTGTGGAAATGGATGTAGAAAAAAGAAAATACTGATAAGTAATTGATTTTTCTTTTGGTGTGCTTCGGTTCTGATTTTTTTTTTTTTCTATGTTGAAATTGGGCTGTGTTTCTCAGCCTTATTAAACCAAGGCTTAAAACTCCTGAATGTTGTCATCGTGTGTGAAAATGGGGCATGGTAAACACCTTTCTTCTGAAAGTGAATTAACATCTTACAGATATGCCATGAAATGAGGTGAATTAGTCAGGGTTTATTGGGGGAAGCAATGTCTCGTATAACACCAGTTTGTATACCTGGAAGAAAGGTCTACTTCAGTGCTCCTAAGCACGTGACTTAAGTTTATTTATACATACCAACTTTATTGATATGTACAACCTTTTACTGTGATATCTTGTAGCAATGCTGTTAATAGCACACCTTCTTATAATAAAGATATCTTCTGAGTCCTAGTTTGGTAGGTGAGGCGCAAACAGCATTTTACAAAATATGTCTGGAGACTGAATATTTCTTCATCTTTGAGCTAATTAAGTCTTGAGATTTTTCTTTACTCATGGAGGTTATCGCTTCAAAGTGGCAAGGACAACTTGGGTAGTGCGATGTCCCAGTGTTCGTTTGTACTCAGTTTGTAACTCCTGTCAACACCAATATGGCCATTGGTTTGCTATTAGTATTTTCTCAAGTGCTGCCTCGTTTCTATCTTAACAACTTTCTGGAATCTGTCAGAAGATGTAAAATCATGTCTGATGCTGAAGGTCACTTATAAGGAGTTTGAGCCAAGGGTTATTTTCATGGAATTGTGCTTTTCTTAGAAACTTACTGTCATCATTAGTCATGCTTTAGTGTTTACCGGGACAGTACTGTGCCTTTGCAAACCTTTTTCTTAGCTCTCGAGGAAAAGATAACCCTAAACTGTTGAAGAAATTATCAACGTAAATTGTTGATGTTATATTAGTCAACATAATATTCGCAAAGATCGAGCACTAAATGCGGTGGTTGTTTAAAATGGAATTTAAACACTGAAATTACCTTAACGAATGATCTTCCATAAAGCTGCAACTATAGTCTCTCCCCAGTGACTACATAGGAATGTGACAGAAGCATTCCTTATTTTGTTTAGTGATGACATCAACTCTGCGTGAGGAGCTCCTGCAGTGCAGTTTTCATGTTTTGATTGCCAAACATCATCGTCTCAACAGAAGCATCTCCCAGACATAGTATAATATTATGCATCATGTTGTCTTGCTTCAGGGTCTTTATGTGCTACAGCCCATATGGGCTGTAATGACAATGCTTTTTATAGATTGAGTGACTGAAAATTAAAAAGGACTAATCTGCAACGTATTACATCATGTATTACAGCTAGTGATAATTTCAGAGTAGAGTGATGTGGCTCTCGATTTTTTTGTTGTCTTGTCTTTAATCACGGTGGAAGAATTGTAAACAGTCAGCTGTGAGTGTCAAAATGCAAGTGGGGAAGCTGTTTTGAAAGATGCGTATTTATGTGGGGAAAAAACTCAGTTTTACTGGGACAAATGTATGTTAAAATACTTAGACAAATTTTCATTGCTTGCAGTAAGCGCTTTGATATCTTTTGTAGTCTTAGAAGAGCAGTTGGCTCTCAATTGTAACTAGCTGCCTCATTTTTTAACATAGTATTAAAATTTACCAAAAAAGAAATATAAAGGCTTTTAAAATGTGTATTTAAATGTTGATACCTTCAGGTAAGAACAGGTTCTTAAAGTCCCAAAGAGAAAAGAAAACCAATTTAAAAAAAAATGTTTGAGTAGTGTGCCCAAATTAGCGTATATATTGAGTTGCTGAAACAGCATATATATGCTGTTTGATTCTCAATTATGTTCCTGTTTATTCAGTTTTAGTAGTTTCACTCCCAAACATGGCCATTATTCAAGTTTCTCTATTTGAAAGTATTGTTCCCATAGACAGAAAATCAGTTTACCTCTAAAGCTGATGTATTTCTTTTTTTTTTTTTTTTTAAGCTTCAGTAACTATTTCTACAACAGGAGGATCTTTTTTATAAATTCATAGAGAATGAAAAGTAGTCTAGAACTCAGAATGTTTTTATATGCAACACTTTTACTATTTATTCTGTAATTCCACAATATTTAATTTGTATTTCTGTTTTGCTGATAAAACTCGTATCTTTCTTGCCAAGTCCTAAGGAATGCCTGGATGCTACTTTCTTCTGAGAGCCATGTGCATATGTTGCTAAGCTTATTTGATTTGTTTATGCGCATTTCAGAGGGGAAAAAAACCACATCAAAATCATTGTTCTGTTGTGCAAAGTTTTAGTAAAAGCGTAATATTTATCAATTTTACAAGTAAACTTTTTACAGGTGTTCAGATGCTCAAATTTTAGTTATTCCATTAAAATAATTTATTTTAGTGAGATAAAATTTTCAGTGTGGATTGAAACTTAATATTCAAGAATTGAGTTCTAAGAATCTTACTGAAAAATGCAAACCTAATTAACTATTTCTTATATCATGCATTTTTATTCTTCTGGGTATATTCAAAGACTGTTGTGGTTGATTTCTTTTAATTCACTCTGATAAACAATCTGACAATTTTGTATTCTGAATGGACTTCAGCATGAAAGATTGATTATCTAGAGATGTCTACCTGCTTGCATCCCCAGAACTTCTTTCTCTCTGTGTATGTAGATATAAGGAAGCTCAAAAATGAAACATTTGATTTATTTTTGAGCTTCCTTGAAAGTAGGATGTAAGTGCAACTTCATACATAAGCACATAAATGTAAAAATTTCTTCTGTTGATCTATTCTGCAGTTTTAGATCTGTTGGGTGTTGAGAATGCAGTAGGTGTGACCTTGACACGTATGGTGGAGGTTATGTGCTGTGGAGTATGGTGATAAGACTGGCTGCTGAATGGGTCCCACATGCCCCATGGGTTGAAAAGTGGATTATGAGAGAGCCATGTGCCCTCTGCAGCAAGAGTTCATGCTGAAAGTGCCAGCAGCAGCAAGTATAAATTGTGTAGCTGATGACTACTTCTATGTGTAACACAGCTGTTGGTAGAGAACAGTCCAGGTACTGAATAGCAGAGGCATTTACTGGCAGCTGTTCTTGTTGGCCTGCCAACAAAGGGGAAAATACCAAACCTATTTTTCTTTTGATAAAATGTGGCAAGTTATGTTTACCTTATGTTTATGTGTACATCCAGAATTGAGCAATGTATATAAAAAGGGCAGTTTTTTTGGTTCTGACTTGGTTTATCTTCCCTGTTTTTCTTTCTTTTTTTCTTGTTCACGTCCTTTTAGATATTTATGCTAAATCAAAAAGTGAGAAAGGGGGGGGTTATTGATGACTACCTCTAAAAAAATAATCTTTTGTATTATAATACGGCTTTACTGTTGGAAACCAGTGTTGTAATAAACAATATACTATTTTCTCCATGTTTTTCAAGTGCTTGTCCTATTTCAAAACTCTACTTTAATCTGATGCTTGCCGAATTAAGTTGGAAACAGCATAAGTACTGTAGTGTAGCAATATATGTACCTGTAGCATAAATGTTACCTCTTCTTAAATCCTGGAAGTCCGTGTTTGTATGTAATCTTTTTCTTCTGGAGTGCTATGTGTATTTTATCCTTACTCCAGTAGTGATATTTATACATGGACATATAACCTGGCAGCCCACTGCTGAACAGTGTGGATTACTGGTACCGCTCAGATCTTGAAATTATTGTTTTTTAAATGCCTTCTATGTGACATTACTGGAACCTCATGGTCTGTGTGACTACAGCAGTCCTGAAGCTTGAAACCTGTCCCATATATTACCAAGATTTTGGCTGCCTACGTTTTTTGATATAGCAGTTGATTTCACGCTTTTGGAATATCCCTGCAAACGGAATAGGTGAAACATCTTAAAACTATTCCACATAGTGTAGCAAGATATGTATTCTGGGCTTGAAACAAAGCAGCTATAAAACCATAAGCCTTGTGAGAACTTTGTATTTCCAACAACTTAGTTATGTGGCATATGCATTTTTTTAAAAATCTGGGTAGATTAACTTAAATTCATAGGAACAGGGAGAAGTGGGAATCTGTTAATAGAATCAGTTAACATTTGTCTGCTAGGTCAAAATTGTAGTGATGGATCATAGACAAGACTAGAATTAGCAGATTTTTAATGTTCTGTAGCCCTTAATTTTATTTTGAACTGCACTGAACATATTTGATGACAGTGGTTTCTCTTAAAAAATATCTACAGCCTAATGCTTGAAAAAAAAAAATTTAAAGATATATTCAAGTCTTCATAAAAATGATGAAGCTTTTGGCTTTCCATTTCCATTATATCTTGCAGAATGATACAGTATTTGTTTGTAACTTAATACAAAAACCCTAAGATTTATTTACAGATGAATAAATTAAAATCAAGAAATGCAATATTGATCTTTACAATAGGAAATATGTGCAAATATAGTAACTACATTTTGTTTTCTTTACAGAAACCATAGCCCATTAATGAGTTTTGGAGCCAGTTTTGTCAGTTTTTTGGTGAGTAGATGGGAGCGGGAAGTATACATCTCTTCTCTTGTGGTTAATGTTTGTATGTGCATGTGTGTGTTCATAATGGTGGATACTCTAATTTGTTTCTTTTTATGAGACTTAATTTTTTCAAAGTTTTAGATTAGGTGTAGCTAGAAAATAAGTCATTATGTTATATAAAACTTGTTTACTCGTGGTTTAAATAGGAAGTAAAGGTTCTGTGATTCAGCTACTCAAATGTATGAGATATTTATGTGTTCCATTAAAAAAGCCATAATGAAACCCTCTCTTAAATGAGCAGTAGAGGTATTATTAAAATAATACTCGTAAATGCCATTTTCCTGATAGCTTTTGCTATTGAAAATTTCTCTGTCCATGCTGCTGGATGAAAGTTGTTAATTTGATCCATTCACATTGCTTCCTTTTTGAATATATGAGAACTGAGAATATTGACTGATTAAAGAGTCGTAATGAGCACGTTAGGTCTGTTAAATGCTTTTCTTCATTTTTTAATGTATTAAAAATGAGAATATCTTATATAAAAACTGAGCAGGTGTATTAGAAAATGTTTGGATCTTGTTTTTTAGACTGTCCTTACTCTGACTTTGCTGCTTAATCTTAGATTGCACCAGAAATTATCTATGGTAATACTCTTTTTAAAGACAGAATTTATTATAATATGCCAGAAATAAATAAGTTGTAAATGAAATTAATTTGAATTCTCTCTAATGTCTGTACACTATGCAGTATGGAAAAATATATTGGTTAGGAAACCTCCTAGGGCATATGCTTGCTTTTAAGTCAATGGAGAGGAGAAAGGAAAGAGGGAGAATCTCTCAGGCTTGCTTATCTGAATTGATGTGCTGAACCAGTGTAACATCACAGAGCAGCATCAGTGGATCTTGATAATACCTTGCTTAGCTACTGTTCTAAACATAGCAGCAGCACTTCATGTGCCTGTGTCATTCAGAGCTTTCGTTTAATAAAGCATCAAGAAAAGAAGTTGCTTGTGCTGAAATTCTTTCGAAATTGGTTTAGCAGTAGTTGGAGTCGGATGCATTTTTTTTCTTCCTACATCTGTAGGAATTGTGGTTATTATTTTGAAAAATGCGATAGCTGTTACTTGTTACTAACTTTGGAGGCCTGCTATTTATGTGGATGTATTATGAAAAAGCAGTATCTGCACAGATGCAAATCGTGCCTTACATAACAATAACTGAAAATTAATTTATATGAATTTTTCTTCTGCTTAATGCAATGTGGCAGCGCATTCAGTTTGTCTGCATATGAAGTCAAACAAGGGGTTTGTTTGTTAAGACAAGGGCTTAGGACTTAGTATGTTCTGATTTGTTTTGAAATTTTGGTAAAGCACACTCAAATCTCTAGTTTGGTGTTTCTGTGTAGAAGTATGTGTACTCGTGTGTGTATTAATACGTTTTTTAAAAAAAGTAAGTTTTATTGTCAAGTTTTCATAAAAACTTTTACTATCTTACAGCTTTTGTAGAGATAAAAATATTTGTGATTTTTATCATTCAAATCTGTTTGGTTTTTGGTAGAATGCTATGATGACATTTGAAGAAGAGAAAATGCAGCTGGCATGTGATGACTTAAAGGCTACAGAGAAACTTTGTGAAAGTGAAGAAGCTGGAGTCATAGAAACAATCAAGAATAAAATTAAGAAGAATGTAAGAACATTATTTGTAAAATATGGAATTGTGTATCGGATAAATATTTCTGGAAACTTCCTTTCTGTCCTATTTGTATTTTGAATAGATGGTTTTTGATATGTGAAGAGCAGTTGAGATTAATAGTAAATTTAGAAATTAAGTCAAATATTTTGCTTGGATTTCCTAAGTATCATAAAATACTCAGAGTCAGGTAGTTCCTCTTCTAAAACAGCAGGTTGCGTTGATGTTGGTAATTATTTTCCTAACCTTTTCTTAACCTCAAATTAGTGACCTACTAAAATTATTTCAGGAAGCTTGTGGCCTGCCTAATTCAGGCTAACTTTAATTCATATATGCTCTAGTAATGTTCAAAAACATGTGACGTTGAGGCTGCTTAGTGCTGTGTGCCAGACATATTCCTAGGGAATTTTCCATCCTTTTTTAGATTTTTCATTCTAAATAATGAAAGAAGAATAAAGCACGCAGATTGAGAACTAGTTAAAGTTGTAGTATAGAGATGTCCAGTGAGTGGCCTGCTAGTGTGATGTAGCAGATCTACAGCAGAAAAAGAAGCCATTTCTCTTCAATATTTAGTTTACTTGATAAATATTTAGTTAAATATTTTACTTCAATATTTAGTTTACTTCAGTATTGAACCTGACATACTTAACTCTCTGCTCCTAAGAGGCACTGTTTTCCCTGCCACTTGTCATATACCCCTTTCTGTGCTCTTCCTATCTAACATCTTTTAGTTGTGTGTCTGATGCATTTAGTAATAATTAAATGAAATTTAAATCTGTTCTGAATATTCATAGACTCTTAAGAAAAATAGCTGAATCCAAATATGTAAGGTTTCCCTGTTTATGAAATAGGAACTTGCTTGATGAGCTATCAAAGACCTTTTAGCATAGTTTTGCACTTCAAAATGCTGTGTTAATTTAGTAGCAATACTACCACTTGCAGTTAATTTTGGATTTTTTAATTCCTGAGGTTTAAACTAGTATTCTGTATTATCTTTGTTAACATTTTTCTGTGCTCTGTGTTTGTATGTTCCAAACAGGTTGATGGACGAAAATCCACTCTATCCATGATAGATCGTCTGCAAAGACAAATAATTGTAGCAGACTGTCAAGTCTACTTGGCTGTGCTCTCATTTGTAAAACAAGAGTTATCAGGTGTGCTGTGGCTTTAATGTTTAGATATATTTTTTGCATGATAACTTTTTAATAAAGCTTAATCATAAAGTGGCAAGGTGACTACCAGTAAAGGTGATTGTTTTGTAAGAAAGAGCACAGTTCCGTTTGAAACATTCCAAGATTGGTGCACTTGCAGAGGTATTGTGTAGGTAGTAGATCATAAAATAAGATGAGTTGGATTGCTACAGATTACAGCCTTCAGCTCTTTTCATACCGATAATCATATTCAACTGATTCTCCTTCGATAGGTTGGAATCCTTTGCATGTTCCCATAGAGGCATTTGAGGAGTTGGTATGAAGATGGGTAGCATGTGTGTGCTTTGTGTGGCCTGCAAGATAGAAGAGGCTATAAGTCCAGGCCACTGGGAAAATCCTTATGTCCCACATGCATTATGTTCATGACAACTCAGGGAGATGACAAACTACCAGTGAAAGTAATTTTAAATGAAGTGTGTGGAAGATGGAACTGCTAAATCAGTTTTTGTTCTCTGGCCACCAAAATGCATCCTTGCATGCCAAAGAGGTTAATTCTGTTGTGTCGAGTAGAAAGCTCCTCGTCTCAGCTGCAAAGCTGTTTCTAATGTTCTCTTGCATTCCTGGATCTCTTGCATAATCTTAAAACATGCCTTTGTCTAGGAGTTTATAGAAAATGTGGTCAAGGCCATATACAAAGTGAGTGTATTCCCAGGTTCTTACCAAATCAATGAAGACCAAGAGATGGCAGTCAGACCAGATTGTCAGTTAAAACCCTGCTGATCAGCTGAAAGGAATCAGGGAAATAACATTCAGATTATTTAAAATAATACTAAGATCTTCAGTCAAGGACATAATGCTTTCTGTGATGTGCAGACTTGGTTTCTTCCAAGTGATGACATCAAGAATGTGGTTGGTTCTAGCTGGCAGAAATTCGGGGGGTATTTCTGTCTGCTGTGTGTGTAGTGCTGCAGAAAGGTTTTCTTAACTATTTTTGATGCAGTTCTGGGTTTTCGTTTTGGGGGGGGGGTCCCCCCTCTTGAAGCTTTTTTCTTATTTCAGTATGTATTCTGCAGCTGCATAACTGGGTTGGATGCTGTAACTGAGGGTGGTGTCTGTTCCCTTTCTTTCTTGTCTGCTGCTCAGAGAACTGAAGTGGGTAGCAGAGTACTGCAGAACATACAGTATATGTGGGTTACTCTACTGAGTAAAAAATACACCTGAAATTTAGTTAAAATTCTGAGCAGTTAAATGCTACCTCAGCGACTGCTAGTTACTGCCATTGCTGAACTGTTGGATCCATTATTTCAGTTTTTTGAGTATATTAACTTTCTGATTATGTATAAACATCTTTTGTTTTTATCATTTTTCTGTACAGAAATAGCAACCAGATTATTGAAATGATTGTAATTTAAAAAAAAAATTCATTCTTTAGAGGCAGATAAATATTTCTCATCAGTGGATGGGTAAAAAATTTCTTGTGTTTTTCTTCCTGGAACAGTTTGACAAGAAGCATATGATGACATGCAAGCTGCTTTCTCATATGCCTAACACATTTTAGATTTTCCTTTCCACCCACATGGATGTATTAGAAATACATCATAAAGTTAGTAACACAGCAACTTATATTAGCTTCCGACAGCAATATTGAACTACTTTTTCTTGATATTACCCAGTCATGGGTCTGACTACTTTCAGAAGTTCATACTGGGAAATCAGCTCAGTGATTGGGCTAGATTTAATTTTTATGTTTAAAAAGTCAGAAATTCATTATTTTCATTTGTTAGATTGTTTTATCTTAGGATAGCAAATCTATTAGGGTTATGCTGTGTTAGTGAACTGTTCATGACAGCACAGTAATGGAAGTAAAGTCTAAAACTGTACTTTTTTTTTTCCATATCATATCCTTTCCATTTGATGCACACATCAGGACGCAGTAGTTAGCAGTAGTTAGCTATTAGCAGAAACACTATCTGTAGGACAAGTAAAATGTGGGTGTTTCCTTATTATTTGCCTGCTGCATTGCTATGCATAGTTGTATGAGTGTTTGTCCTGTGGTGAACCACGTAACTTTTAAAACATTTTGTGCAGCCAAAAAGTGACCTAATTGCTTAAGTAACATTAGTGTTGTAACGCAGCTGAATCATGGCAGGGGTTTACATTTTATATTATAACACTTTAATATGGAACTCAAGATAGAGGATTAGTTTTTTTAATACTTTAAGTTCATGTTGACAGAACACTTCTGTCACAACTGAGAATACAAATTTTGCAGTCTTTCTCAGTGCGATTTCTTAAGACTATCAAACTAGCTTCATCCCCTCTTCATACAACAAGAATCCACAAAGTAGTCTAGTCCATGATGATACTTCTCTAGAAATTTTTTTTTGTAATTGGAAGGATTTTGTCAAAGATGTCAAAGGCTTATAGAGAGTGGTTTGGTATTAATAGCATTTTCCTTTTCTTTGACACACTGCACCTGTTATGATCTAATTCTGGCATCAGTTATAACACTGATACCTGCAAATTTGGTGTAATCTGTATAGAACACTGCTGCTATAACCATGCTTTGATTTTTCTCTCATTTTTAGTTAACTCCTTTGTCACTGCAGTTCCTAATTCTCAGGGCTCTATCACAGACAAAATGCAGGTGTCTGCTGTAACAATTAACGTTTACAAGTGTATTCTGTGTTTGTTTTCTATTTACCATTTATTGTTATTCAGGGGTGTGCTATAGCCAAGATGAATGCAGTGTAAATAGGCAAATCAGACGTCTTCATCTTTTGGTGTCATGCCCTTCTTTACCCTCCTGTAATGAGACTGGGAATTCTCTCATTCGCAACTGAGAATGCTCAAGACCAGACTTTTAGGGAAATTTAGGTACCCAGCTTGCATTTGAAATTGAGGAAGTTAGGCAACTGAAAAATGTTTTAAAGACATAACATTTATGCATTCTTTTTTTTTTTTTTTTTTTTTTCTTAATTGTAAGGCACTGTATTCATATGGGGGGCAGGGAAATGATGGTGTTGAAAATCTTATTGTCTAACCCAAAGGAAGAGATTTTCTTAGTATTTTCCCATCAACTGTCTTTTAACATCATTTGGGCTTAAGAGGTGTAATCTCTGAGCTTTGCTGCTCTCTGTTTGCCAGGCAGCCATTTCATCTCCACTCTATAGTGGAGAAGAAGCCAGCATTAAGTTCTTTGATTTCTCTATTTCTTTCTGACAGTTGCATTGCTACATAGCTGAAGGGAAGTCCCTTTGTATTGCATGCTGGTTTAAAGTCTCTGGTTGAAAAGCACTTAAGTTTGTAGTGCCCAGTATGAAAGACTGCTTCAAGATGGCAGTAGTGATTACAAAATCCTTTATACAATACGTTAATGCAAATAGAGAGAGCATCCTAGGATTTGTGAAATAGCATTTACTACTTACTGTGTTCCACTTCTGAAATATGTCCTTGAAATACTTTTTTCCTTGATTTTTAGCATACATAAAAGGTGGGTGGATACTCCGAAAAGCCTGGAAAATTTACAATAAGTGCTATACGGACATTAATACACTTCAGGAAATATATCAGAAGAAAACAACTCAGGAATCCTTGACTTCTGATGCTGCAAATGATAATCATGTTGCTGCAGAAGGTGTAACGGAGGATTCGCTAAACAGACTGAAAGGTGCTGTTAGCTTTGGATATGGACTTTTTCATCTTTGCATATCCATGGTGCCCCCAAACCTGCTCAAAATCATCAACCTGCTGGGTTTTCCTGGAGACCGCCTACAGGGGCTTTCTTCACTGATGTATGCAAGTGAAAGTAAGGACATGAAGGCCCCTTTAGCTACGTGAGTAGCTATATTGAAATGCTTTGGTAGATAACTTAGTACTGAAAGTAAGTAAATGGAAAAAAGTCAAAACCAAAAAGTCATGTTGCTTTAAAGGAAACAACAGCAGGTAAAATAAACTTGTAGTTTGTTGTTTAACATGCCATGTTTAGTAAATTCATCACTTGCTAGTGTATGAGATCTCTCTGCTGTTATTTACACGTATTTGGGGTTTGTGCCAGTATTTTGCTGTGTTCTTCAGTACCTGCTATTCTAATGTCTAGTAATTTATATGCGAGCAGAGTAAATAAAAGCACCCCCTGAAGGCTGAGTGAATTTACCTGAGTTATATTCTCCGCTATGGAGAGCATACTATTTTTATGAGTTATTGATCTCACTTAGCTATTTATCCTTACTATTAGCCAAAGATCTTTTCCAGTTTATTTTTAATTTTAGCATCTGAGTAACATGGGATGTTCCCTTACAACGTTTTTAGTCTTTTTAGAGTAGTATTTTTTGTGTACTCTTTTTCCCAAGCCTTCATACTGCATTCAGGTCTTTTTATCAGGTGAAGGGTTAGCCAGACCTAATTTAAACTGCCCTCATAAATGGGTTTATTTCTCCATTATCTCCAAATTAATGCTTTTATTACTGGACCTACTGCAGGTACCATCAGATGTCACTTTTGAAACATTGACAGCAGAGCTAAAGTCTCTTCTGCTTGAGGAGAAGAATTGGGTTTCTGATTGGTTAAGAAAGCTTAAGATTAAATGTTTCTGTTGATTTGTTCTTTCTCCTTTCTGGGGAAGAAAAATGGTGTTTTGGGGGGTGTTTCCTCCTTCAGATGGTCTTGGAAATCTTTGTGCTCTGTCCTTGTTTCCAGGAGCGATGTAGGTCATGTAGATGTCTGCCCTTCTGAACACCGGATGTATTTCTGTTTGACATTGATTTTAAGTGTGTCTGTTGATGTGTGTTTATTTTGTTGTTGATTTTGTTTGTGGGTGGTTTTTTTTTTTCTTTCCCCCCCCTCTAATGAACAATTCGTTTTTAAAGTTTTCCTGCGGGTTTTTCTTTTTTAAAATCTATGGAGTTCTAAAGGCTCAACTGCTTTGATGATATGAGCTTGATTGTTACTTTACCTTTGGGTAATGTGCACTGAATTGTATGTTCAGGTGCAGTTTAGGAGTGCATTGATGTATGGCAATACTATTGTGTCTGTTTTAAAGCCAGGTTGATTCATAGCTTTCTTTGTCTTTCAGAATCATTTAAAAATTTGCCTGTGTAGAATGTTATCCTTAAATTTCTGTTTATGAGCTGTAATCCTTTTTACTCTTATGTTTCTTTTAGATTAGCTCTGTTGTGGTACCACACAGTTGTTCGTCCCTTTTTTGCCCTTGATGGCAGTGATAACAAGGCAGGATTGAAAGATGCAAAAGAAATTCTTGCGAAAAAAGAATCTGCTTATCCAAATTCTTCTCTGTTCATGTTCTTCAAGGGAAGGATACAACGATTAGAGGTATTGCATGTTTTCTTCCTTTTGACTGATTTCTCCTTCCCACCCTTTGTTATTTTATGTTTTTCTGATGTGAATGAACTGTGCAAGCTTCAGCAAATTGTGACTCAAGATATAGATACATGGAAAGATAAGTAAGAAGAAAGTATTAACTCCTTCCTAGTTTCAAGTTCACATGCCAAACCTGCTCTTCCACTACTTCTATCTGAATTAATGACACTTTGAAATTCTTTTTCAGCTACTTGATACATTTGTAGCTCAATGCTAAAAGGAAGTGCTTTTGGTCACTCATGAGTTTCTTGTGGTATAAATAGCTATTTCAGTTTTGCTTGTCAAGCTAAAATCTGAGTATTATCTGCTGAGTACATAGCATTTATCTTCCCCTTTTCATTTTAGGCATTGTTCATATACAGCTAATTCTCTGCAGTAATTTCCCTCAAATAACTGTTTTTGCTTTTAAGTGGTCAAACCAGGACGTTTTCTGTTGCTAAGGGTGAGCTCTAACCCAGGCAGAAACGTATTCACTGAAAATGTTTGTGAATGCTGTTGCAGAGTATTATTCAAACACTGCAGCAGCCTCGTGGTGTTTGGCTGAGTTATTCTTTAAGAATCTGTGATAATACAAGATGGTGGTGAGTACTTTAAACTACTCAACTCCTAGCTGCTGCTTTTATCACACCAGAATATTTCCAGAGCGATTATATTAACAAGAAAGCCCAACACAGAAGCACAAGCCTAGAATGTTCAAACCCTTCATTGCAACATCATAATTACAAGAGCTAATCCAGATCTTAATATTGGTGGTCCTTCTTTGCTAGGGTTTGCAGTTAACTCTCTCAAATACAGCTTAGTATTTTGAGGGAGGTGGCAACAGTAACAGAACAGAGGGGCAGGATTCAGTGGCCTATCAGATTTCTCAGGCATATTCTTGCATGGGACTTGGATGTTGTTTTTCTTTTTTTGCTGTCTTTCTGAAAGCAACAATGCATTTGGGGAATTACACTGTCATAGGCAAGCTGTCAGTCTTTGGGAAATATTGCTGTTTTCTGAGTGGGAAAGATTTTAATGGTTTTTGTTCAATTATATGCATATTCCATTCTTATAGTAAAAATCAAATTTGTTAGGAACAGCTACACAATGAATGCAAGTGCAGTTAAAAATGTAGATATGTTGATTGCCAGAGTATGACTTGGTATTTGGAACTTTTTTTTTCATGTTTAGTGTAATGAGGAATACAATTCAACTGATTCTTCTGACTGTTAGGGCAAGCTAGGGCAAAATTGTAAACATAAATTGTCAATAAACTACCTATGTGTTTCTATGTGTAAATACAGAGGATAAGTTTGGGATAAGTGTCAGTTTTGTGTAGTCGGTCCCTTTCTGGAGTACCGTTATGTTTCGAAGCAGAGTTCTTTACATGTTATCTTAGAGTATTTGTGCCTTAAATGATGCGGTATATAGACACTGAAGTTTAGCTCCAAGTGAAATAGTTTGTGCAAGAAACAGCGTGGCCATGTTAACGAAGTTAGTTAGCTTAGGCAGGCAGAATGCTGTGCATTGTGCTATGCAGCCATACCATTAGTCAGCAGAAAGCTTATTGGTTGCTAACAGGAGTTAAAATGTCCCTTTGCTATTCATGTATTTGTTTGCATGAGAGCTTTTCCATTCAGCAGCTTCTTCCCCCACACCCCCATCATTGCTTTGTTGTAAGTGGTACAGTATCACTGAGGCTTTGCTGCGTATAAATGTTTTGGTTAAATGTCTTGAGCTCTTCTGTAGACTCTGTTAGGAATTTACAAGCTTAATTTGCTCAAACGTTGTTGACATAATAGTGAAGGCAGATATGTGACTGGTGGCAATGGCATGGGGAGCTGCACTGGATTTCTGCACAATACACTTGTGGTTACATGTGTCTCAAATCCGGGCATTGGTCTTACAGCATCCATTGTACATTCTGAACCACAAGTGCACATATACTCTTAGATTACAAACTAATACGCTGAGTCGTAATTTCTGCCTCATCTCCAAGGCGGGTGAGGAGAGCTCCTGCAAAGCCTGGGAAGTGCTTATATGGCCTTCCTTGAAGTTGTTAATACACAGGTAGGTTTAAATTCTTTCCACCAGGCATGGTAATATTATTTTCAGATGGTTTACTGAAATTGAGAGCTCCTGCAAAGCCTGGGAAGTGCTTATATGGCCTTCCCTGAAGTTGTTAATACACAGGTAGGTTTAAATTCTTTCCACCAGGTAGTATTATTTTCAGATGGTTTCCTGAAATTGGGAAGTCTGTGCTTTAACCGGTATGCACTTAAAAGTATACCTTGAGCTGAAGCTTATGTATTTTATAGTCTTTAACATCTATCATCTTTTAACAGTGCTGAGATAAAATTTAATTGTACATAGATGAAAGGCAGCTTAGATGTTGTTATACAGAAGAGCTTGTTTTTTTCTGGAAGTACAGATCAGTAATGGTCATTGTAGGCTTTGTATTAGAACCTACTAGCACTCAGTCCATCGGATTTTTGTATAGCCTTTGATCCTGCATACGTTTTATGTAACTTTCAGATGATGGTATATTCAGCTTCTCTTAGTAAGTCTGCATACGTCTATATATCTGTATGTGTGTGTTTTTTCTTTTCTGTGGAGAAAAGAAATGGTAAGGAGCATAGTTCAGCCATGGGACACCTGGAGGCAGGGAAATTGTTCAAAAGGCAGAAGCAGTAATGCAAGACTGGACAGTAAGACACAAATCTGACAAAGGAGAAAATTGCCAAGGAAGGCAGTCGAGAAGAAAGGAAGATTTCACAGTGACAGTGCCATGAAAGACAAATGAAGAGCCTGTGACTGTATAATGCTTTGTGCGCCAGAAAGCATGTATGAATATTAGTAAATAAAAGCCCTAACAGACTTTGGTTTTCTAAGTAGCAGCCTTACAGGTACTATAAATGTGGACCAAATTATCTTTCAACTTTTTTCCCAGATTCACATTTTTGAGAAATGAAGTCTGAAAGCGTTGGAGACTATTGAAATGAATAAGTTAAGGGAAAGGAGAGGAGAAGGATCTGGGAAAGCTGGAATGAAAGTGCACTAGAAAGTTAAAGGTTGCACTGGTAGGCTGATCAAATGTCTCTTTTTTTCAAAGAGTAGGTTAAGAGACTGCATATTAAAAGTAGCATTTTTCTTGACTTTTACATAATTCACTTAGGCTGTTTTTATGGACATAACTATTGCTGTGCTTGACTTGTGATTGTATGTATTCCAGCCTCACAAGTATTTCTTTGTGAATGTTTGACTATTTCTGTCTTTGAAATACTTTCCACTAAAGCTGATAATGATGTTTCATGTAAGCTTAAGCTACTAAAAACAACTGAGAATAATGTTTTATACTTGTGCCTAAAGGGTACTGAAAAATGTAATTAGTATAATAGCTGCTGAAAGCCACTGGTCTGAAATCCAGAGTTTCCAGCTATACCCTTAGGCCTTTCCTATTACTGTGAAAATAAAAATATTGCCATCCATTTGCTAAATGTGTGTTGTCTAATATTATAATTATGTTAATAAATACCAATTTACTTTTGAAACTGTAACTTAGACTATTCAAGTGTGGTATTGTGGCCCATAGTGAAAGATGGGCGTGGTGGTGGTATGGGAGAGGGCAGAGTAAAAGGTAGTGTTCTGAATCTTACGTATTTCTGCTTTTTAGCTTGCAATTTTTCTTTCTCTTCCCTCCCCTCCCCCCCCCAATCAGCAACACTTTTTAAAAAATCTCCATCTGCTTTTTTAAATAGTACAAATCACCCCACTCAGAAGTAGTTAAATAGATTGATAGCTTCATGTGGAGAGTGGTAAGGATATAAAGCAAAAATAGTGTTTGACAAAATTGTGGACTGGGCAAGATTGCTTTTCTTTGACTGGGGACAGACTCCAGTTGTGTATATATAAACAACAAGAAATCTCTGGGGCCAGGACAAAAAAACTCGGGTTCGGAGGCTTGATCTGTAGAGTTCAGTTGGTATAGGTGCATTTTAAGAGGCTGAAGGAAAAAGTACCAAATACTCCAGTTGATGGGCAAAACACCAGTGGGACATTCAGGTGTGCTACAGTGTGTTTGATGTGCAGGCCGGTGAAAATGTGCAGTGGTATTGTGGACTTGAATGTAATGCTGACAAGTACTCTTGCTTTTTTAGTTACCTTTTGTAGGCATCTTGGTATCAGTGGTATCATTCTTACTTAGGGGTGGGAGAGTGTGACACAGAAAAGTGGACTGAGGGCAAGAGTAATAATAAGCATTGAAAAGTGTTAAATGAATTTTCTGGAATAATGTCACAATGATGTCTAAAGAGACTTTCAGAGCTTGCATAATGTCAAGGTTTATTTTCAAGAGTTGTGCTAGCCTTTCTAGTTACTTGTTCTAGGCTATAAAATACAGAATCCTAGTTTTACTCTATTTTGATTTTGTCTAGGGAAAAATGAGGGGAGGGGGCGGTGTTAAGGAATAGAAAATACAGGCTTTGAAATTTCCATATAGTGTCCTCCGGTGTAAATTGTCTCCATTTAGATATTGTTTGCTGGTTTCCCCTTAATTATGAGCATGACTTCTTAAAAGCTTTATGAATTCATAGTGCTAATTGAGAAAGAGAGATCCTGGGAGAGGGAAAGTGCCCTGAGATTTCAGAACAACTCTGGGGGGAAATGTGTGTTGGCTTGGGAAGCTGCCTTGGCTTGGGAAGCTCTGTAGATGCTTAGTTGGTGGGTTGGGGTGTTTTTGGTTTTAATCTGAAGTCAAGAAATGTAAGATTATGGTTCTCACATTAGCTTTAATAATCCCCTTTATGGTTATGTAGTTCTGTATATTACGCATTTTATGGATTAATCTTTTTTTGTCTTTGTATTATGTCCCAGAGAGGCATGAGTGATGCCTGTTGAAGGAATTACAAGTGTGTGTGTGTGTGTTTGTTTTTAAATCTCAAGAATATCAATTTCAGGTGTCAGCCATGATGTTATACTTGCAGACTCTTGGGACTTTATAATTCTTTCTGTTTATTCTCTGAAACAGTAAACCGGTAGTAATTAATTATTTTAAGAATTAACACTAAGAGTAGAAATTCATATTTAAGCATGTTGTCACAATCCCTGGAGATGATTGAAACTTTAATTATTAAGGAATGTCTCTGAAACGTACTTACTGAGCTTGATGCTTAAGGAAAACTTAGGCAGATGTCAAAACACTTGAGAGATCGAGACAGTTAGAGAAATGATAATAGAAGATTGAATATTCAACTAACTGGACTTGTATATTACTAGGTGGTCAGTATTTCATCTGCTGCCCCAGGCTGGTGTATGGCATTGCAGACAATGATGTAATTGCCATTAGTCATTGTGTGGAATAACGTGCCCTACAAAGAACTGATTTATATTTTCAAATGTTTAGGGTTTTTAGGTTTTTAGAAGGCAAAGTATCTTCACAGAGGACTAAATATTTAGGGGTTGGGGTGGTTTGGTTTTTTTTTGCATTTTCCTCAGAAGCATTCAAAACATAAATTTACTGAACTTCTAAACTTCTTGGCACAGGTAAGGTTTTAAGCTGACATTATTTTATTTTATCTTTTCTGTAAGATGGGGCTCATAACACTTATATTCCAGGAAGTCATATTGGGGTGATGCGGCATCAGTGGAGTAATATGTAGTGGAGAGAATGTGCTGCTACAAAAGTAAACAAGGTGTACATTGCTCAGGCTCCCTGATGACTTTGAGGGCAAATAAAACTCCCCTGTCTTTCTGTGTAGTATATTCTTCTGTTATGTCAACAAACATCTTAGTCTAATCACTGTTTTATTTTCTAAGTGTACAGTGTTTATATTGGTACAGCTGTGGATCCCTTTACTGGCAGTTGTGCTGTCTTGATGCAATATATATGATTTGTGGTTAAATTGTTCCTTAGCAACTAAAACAGTTTTCCCTGATGAGACAAAGAAGGAAATCTAATAAAATCACTTTAGAGCTCTGTGTGTGTGTGTGGTCTTAAGATACAACGCTGCAGATTTTTGCAGAAATTTTTGAATTCAGTTAATGCTTGCGTAGATGACAAGTTTGCTTTTTCAAGGGTTTCTTTCACTTACATGCTTAGCCAGCAGAGACTGGCTTAAAGATTCTTCTGTTGTATAACTTACTATAATTGTATGTGAGAGTGAATATAGGAACACTATTAAAGTGGGTATAGGCTATATTGGGATATATAGTGTGTCAGTGTATAAAACTAATTAAATGTTGATTTGCATCCCTGCCTTTTGATGATTGTTACGGAAAAGTCCCATCCTACACTGGGAAAACTAGAGATTAAGGTAGTCAAAAGAACTATCATTCTAGTTCTTACAAAACTGTTAGCCTCTTTTTGCTAAGCTGTTGGTAACTAATGATTTTATCAAAATGTTTTTTTATCTCATAGACCTTTTTAGCTTCTTACATGTCATGCAGCATTTATGAATTCTCTATTAACAGTTGCTTAAAATGGTTACTGAGGGATGTGGAAAAAAGGTGAAATAATTCAAAATAAATAAAATGAAACATTAAAGATACCCTTGTTGTGCAGAAAGCTAAACTTTATTGGCAGATGCTAAAAAGATATGACTTTTAAGGGTGGAATGACTAATAAGAGTAGAAATGAGATTATTCAACAGCTTACTGCACAAAACCGATGAATTTTGCACTTAATAGCAAATAGAAGGAATACAGCCGCTGATTTTTAAGGTTGAGAGATGATCTGAACTGGCTGTAAGTTATTGGTGATCGTTATTACATTATTAAACTCCTCTACTATCCCTCTCCCCCCTTTTTTAAGTCCATAGTGTTCTACATTTCTCTCTTTAAGTGACTTTTAGAGTGCAAGTTCCTTACCGCATGTTTTAATTTTTACTGTTGCACATGGTGGAACTGATTGTTAGTACCTTGCAAGCAAACGCTTTGCGTTCTTGTCTAAAGTTTCATTTAAATATAAATCTGAGTTGCTTTGTACTAGTGATTCTTTCTTCTCTTGTCTCGTATAATTTGGCTTTTGTATTATGTTTCATATCACGAATATGAAATATATGGAAAAATCTGTTCACTATGGGAACTCTTTAAGATGCTCATTTATCGGTGTAAATAAAGGCTTTGTCATAATTTGCCCGTGCTTCCATTCAAAAGTAATCAGGTCGAGAGAGCTGGGAGGAGGGAAGCTGGCCAAAAGAATTGCAATGTGGAGCTGGTATACTGAATTAATATTAGCCCTTCTCCTTCAAACTGTTAGCTCTATGGTGGGTTTTAGCTCATCTAAAATAATCTAGAATCTGAAATGAATTTTGAGGTTTTCCTCTCAATGGGATGTTATGCCTCTTTCATCTAATCAAACCAGTGTCTGCAATCTGTAAGACACTTCAATATTTTTTTTCTTTAACCATGTAGTTATTTTTAAATACCCGTTAACAGAAATCTGAATGTTTTCCTCATCAAAATCAAATTATGCAGCAAATTTTAAATTTCAGACATCTGAATTTTTTTTTTTCTTCTTTCACTTTTGTTAGTGTCAAATCAATAGTGCCTTGACCTCATTTCATACCGCTTTGGAACTTGCAACAGACCAAAGGGAGATTCAACACGTCTGCTTATATGAAATAGGTAAGTCGGGTATGTTTATACTATAAATAGCTCACTTTCAAGTTTAGACTAGCAACTTCAATAAACAAACTAGATTATTTTTGTTAGGATTTAAAAAAAGACTTTCAAATACTGGCCTTTGTCTTGAATGGGTTATGGTAATAATCCTGTCTTCTTGTTTGGGCAAGTAGAATTCAACAGTTTTTCATAATTTTAAAGTTTTGTGCATGTGCAAGGTGATGCAAAATCAGAGAGTAGGCTATAGAATCAAGGGAAAACTGTTCACCTACAGAATATTATTTAAAATGAGAAATTAATTAATCTGATTTGTCTGTGGAACCACCATTTCTGTGCCAAAAACTAATCGGTCTAGTGAAGCTTCACAGTTTGCAGGACCTATATTTCATGTTCATTTCCTTCTATCAACAGCAATATATGCTATATGTTCTTAATTTGCATACAAGTCTTGAGAGTGGAGAAGATATGTTGCTTCAAGCTTTAAATGTGTCTCGTTAAGGGATCTTGTCACAGTGGGGAAGAATAAGGGAACAAGTAGTAGCTTTGTAAGTTTCAGCATCCTACAAAATATAGTATTTAAATAAAGGAAAAGAGAGCTTTTGGTGTCTGTATAGATTTGTTGTTATTCTGAAGTGATTTCATTGTTTTGAATGGAATCTTATAATTCAACATTTCACAGTAAATTTGAACCAGGCTTTAAATGTATGTGACTGATTTGTTTTGTTTTTAACTTTTCCAGTTACTGTTATAATTGTTAAACTAGCTCTAGTTCTCATAACAGACTATGTGTTTCAATCATGTTGATGCCAAATTTGAATTACTGTGCTTTCTCTAAAGTTAAATTAGTCTTGCTTTTAGGTTGGTGCAGCATGATAGAGATGAATTTCAAAGATGCGTTTGAATCCTTTGAAAGGCTTAAAAATGAATCTAGGTGGTCCCAGTGCTACTATGCTTATTTAACAGCAGGTGAGTATATTCAATGTGTCGGATAAGTGATAAATCAGTGATTTGATAAGGTTTTGGCACAGTTTTGTGTTGGGAAACTTACACATAGTGCCTTCCACACTGTCTGCTGCTTATGCAGCTTTATGCCAGATTGGACTTACATAATTTTGTTTGTTTATATAGTGTACACTTGCATGCATGCACATGTACATGCATGTGCGTACGTTCTCTCTCTCTCTCTTTCTCTCCTTCCAGATGTAGATACAATTATGATTGTCAGTGTAGTGACAGGTCATATACAGTGTATTGCAAAGGTCTAATTAATAAAGAAATCCTTAGGGGTTGGGTGGTATTAGTTCCTTTAATGGGTACGAAAAAGAAGTACTGACTTGTTAATGATCACAACCTGGGAGAGTTGGGATTTGCATTTTTGTCAAATCTCCAGTCTAGATCCTTTCTGGAAGTGAGTGTGTGTTTTCCTGTGACCGTATGATATCTAATCTTAATTTTTCCTGTTTCATATCCCAGTAGTGTTAACACATTTTTGTTTCTGTGTTCTTACAGTGTGTCAAGGAGCCACTGGTGATGTCAATGGTGCTCAGAATGTGTTCAAGGAAGTTCAGAAGCTTTTCAAAAGAAAAAACAATCAGATTGAACAATTTTCAGTGAAAAAGGTTTGGTTTAGCATAGGCTGACTTGTTTCAGTACAGTAATTACACTTGGTAATTTTGTTGGATTCTTTACCAGTATTTATTTTTGAAGGATTTATCTGTTTTCTGCTGTGTTGCTTCTGTAGAACTAGTGGGAAGGGTTCAGGTGGAAAAACAATAATGTCATGTATTTTAAGGACCTAGCAAAGGAAATGTGAATTAACTATTCACTTTACAACTAAAGTAATTATTAGAAACAAAAATACATGATACTGTAGTTCCTTTGCTAATTTTCCTTCTAGCTTTGCCTTTCTTACTCCTTTTTGTCTTGTCTTGTTTGTCAAAGCCTTAGTTCTTCCTGAAAGCTGGGAGTTGTCTAGGAAATATCTCCCAAATGATGATCTTGCAGATGTTACCATTTCAGCATTCAGTCAGCATGTACTTGGGATATGTGAAATACAATAAAACAAATAAGGCTGCATACAAGGAAGCTTTAATTTTGATCAATATGTAAGCCCTTAAATTAATTGAAAGATTTTGCTTTTTAGTCTTAAAGTCTTTAAGCTAAGTTACCACTGACTTTATTTTCATAAAATTGTTGGATGCTTTCATGAAATAGTTAGAATTACTGTTTGTGATATATTGTTTGTGAACATTATGTTCCCTATAAAAGGACAGGTGACAGATCTCCCTTCCCTCTTTCTCCCCACTTTGCAGGCAGATAGATTTAGAAAACAAATGCCGACCAAAGAGCTCTGTGTCCTGGCATCCATTGAAGTGTTATACTTATGGAAAGCCCTTCCAAACTGTTCCCTCTCAAACTTACAGCATATGAGCCAAGGTATAATATGGTTCCTTGATGTATTTATTTACTTTTTTAAATGAGGTGTATAATTTTCTGCTGTTGTGTGGAGTAGCTGATTGTTGTAGCATGAAAATTTAAACCTGTGTGCATATGTCATAGCAAAACACTTTGGGTAACAAAAGAATAATGACCCATTAAGATTCAGCTTAATGGTTCATTTTTATCATTTTTATAGGTTTTTGGGCGAAGTTTAACTGCCTGCTGCATATAGTTGTTTTTTAATCAGTTGTGTTTGCCCATTGTTTAAAATGAAACAAGAGCATGTTGTTGTTCAAAGTCACTAAGCAAATTTTAACTCATTTAAACCTTGCTACAAAATAAAAACATAAAACTACAAATTCATTTCTGCATGTGAGTTTTCTTCTAAGAGGAAATATGTAGCTTGTGAGGTCATCTATGACATGATAAGGGTTCTGTTTGTCTTGGCTGCTGGGACCATCTTAGTGGTGAAAGGAGCGTTTTATAGTTGCCTCTTAGTCTCTGGATATCTTTGGATGTCTGTCACATGAAGCTTATGGTAGCAGTGTTTATCATGAAGTTTTCAGTATTCCTCCCTTTGTCCAGCGATCAGTCTTTTTTGCATTCTGCAAACAGTTTCAAGTTATTACCTGCTCATTTAGAAAATAAAACAAAAAATGTCTGCCACCGAGATACTTCCTTTTTTCTGTAAATGTGAAATTTTGGGGATTGTACACAATTTTTATGTTAAGCTAGAAAACTAGCAGTCTTTAAGTTGGGAGTCAGGATTAGTTGTGGGGTTTTGTTCTGTTTTTAATTTAAGATGATTTGTCCATTTAAATTGCATGATGGCAGTGGGTTACATGCAGATCCCTAGTTTTCTAATCCCAAAGATAATGGTGAAGTCTTTAAAATTAGGTTTACTTATGTAAAAATAAATTTCAGGATTTTTTTGTCTGTCCTTTGCCTTCAGAACAATCAGCTTTAGAGGTTGTAAAGAGTATGTATTTCTCTCCCGCACACTGAGAAGCAGCATAGATCTTCCTTGAATAAGCTTCTAGCCAGTGGTTCATGTTTTAATTGAAATAGCAGTATAGATTAAAATTCAGAGATATGCTTCATGTAAGTATGACACTGACAGATGTGTCTGCATCAGCGATCTCTGGTTGAAGATTTTCTGCACAGTGAGAGTGCTATTGCTGCGCCTTATGTGTATTGCAAGAATGATGAGATGACACGGGATTTTTTTTTTTTTATTTGCTTCCTCTTCTGTTGAACAATTGGAGCGTAATTTGCTGGGGCGAGTTTCCAGGCTTTTCCTCAGGGCTAGAAGTTGATTTAAAAATAAAGGAATTAATTTGTATCCACATGTATCTCTAAGTAAAATGCCAAGTAATTTGAGACTTGCAATACAAGCAAGAGTTGACAGCCTTGTGTATTGTGTAATGTCCAAATACTTCATGCAGCCAACTCTTAGTTATTCGTAAGTGGCTTATTTGGGTTGTGGATTAACTGTGTTGTGAATGCAGAGCTAGTTAAGATCTGGCAGGGTTTATGAGATGAGGCAGAATGTGAAGTTAAAGAGGAGCTCTATTGCTCCAGGCACAGCAGTTCAGCTCCTTCTGAAGGGATGAAAAGCCCTGCAGGCCTCCCTGTGTCCCAGCCTTTCTGGAATCGATAGTGCAGACAAGTGCAAATGGCTCTTCGTGAAACTGGCCTTGATTTAACAGAGCTGATGCTAATAAGCTTGATCAAAATCGAGCCTGATTCATCCAGAGACGCTTATGTGCATCATGATTAAGTTCTTTCTGGAAACAGAGCACTACTCAGCTGAGGCACAGTCTGCCCCTGGGTGGTGGACCAGCTAAGGTCTGGCAAATAAGCCTTATCCTCTCATCAGCATTGAGACTTGCGATGCCAAAATACCCTAGTCTGGGTTTTTAAGTCCAGTACAGATTTTTGTGTGTCTGTCACTTGGCTTCAGTTCAGCTTTGTCTGAACTGCTTGCCCTGTGCTCCTTGTAACTTTGGACTATGTATTTTTCTTTCAATATCTGGGACAACCCAGTGTCCCATAACACCAGAAGAAGGTGATTGTTTCTTAACTTTTAGTGGATATTTCAAAGACCGGTAGAGAAATGGATTCTCCTCTTCTAGTAAGAAGAGCACACCAACTGCCTGTGATGTCAGCCCATTAATTCCTGTTAGGAATTGTTCTCATGAGTGACAGATTGCTTGATGAGGTTCATACAAAATGGGTTGTATTTAAAAGAAACCAAACTACTTTGTTTATATTAATGTTACTAGCATCTCCTTTTTCTGGTTAAATTTAATCATCAGTCTAAAAGTCACCGTAGACCACAATTCTTTCTAAGGAAGGATTTCAATCCATCTTGTTTGTTTACTGAAATCTTTCCGTTAAGCTTGTCAGGATGTTGATGATTCATCGGCTGTTGGTTTGAGGAATTTGCTTCTTGGTGCCATACACAAATGCTTAGGAAATTCTGAAGATGCTGTTCAGGTAAGTTGTTAAATGATAATTTACACCATTAATCCTATTTTATTAGCTATTCTGTTAAACAGTAAATATTGTTGAGTAAGAGTGTTAAGCAAGCCATTAGTTGTCAGTGCTGTTGATTGTACTGTTCTGTGAATTCCAACAGAGTATGTCAGGTTGTTTTCAAATCTTATGTTCAGCATGTCCTCATTATACTGTGTTGTAAAAGTAATTGGTTATGTTGAATGAACATGGTAGCTAAAGTGGCTTGTAGGAGCAAGAGTTAAGGGAGAGCTGGTAAGAAGAATGGAAAAGTTCTTGGCTGTGCTGGATTTACTTTGTCCAACAAAAAAAATTCAACTTTAAAAAAAAAAAAAAAACACTTGAAGATTGACTGTTCAAAAGCATGGGTTTGCTGCTTCTCCTCCAGACCTATTAGATGCTGAGAGGTTTGATTATTAGCACATACCAAAGAATAATTTTGCCACTGCTCCAGGCTTTGATCTGTAGGCACAACTTTTTTTTCCTCCCCAAAATAGAATGCAATTCACATAAGCAACAAGGGAGATGATGCTGTCTTTAAATCTTTTTCCTCCTCCCCCCCCCTTTTTCCTCCTCCCCC